TATATATATATATATATATATTATTTTCTAACATAAAAATATTAGGTGAATTAAGTGATCCACCTTGACACTGTGTATACTCGCCATTACTCGTCATGATGAGCTGGAGGAAGCAACGACCGTGCTACAATAATGGAGGTCTCGTGGTGCCGACCTGGAATCACAATCATGTGGTGTACACCACAAAAGACCATAACCAAATGATGGTAACCTTGTAACTATGTTACAAGTACACTAATAATAGTGTGGATGGAGATGGGGTATGTCCCATAACCAATAACGTTACGTATAAATTGTATATATTAATAATAGATTAATTTACTACGTAAATTATGTTATAGAAATTCGCAAAAAGAAAACATTTGTTATGTAAATAAAAAAAAAATTCATATCATTAATATGAGGGAAAATGACGCAACGTCCCTATTATGTATTTTGACTTTGCCATGTCAGTCCTTAAAGTTTTTTTCATGCCTTTTGAAGAAACAAACTATTTGTTGTCGAGTAAATTTAGTCACTTTGGACAAAATGAATGGGTAATCCAGTTACCCCTTTGCCACATAGACATTGACCTATTTTCCCTTAACACTGACTTTGAAAAGTCAAAAAAATTCCTCCTCCTTATTCTTCTTATCTCTCAATTCTTTCTCACTCTAAAATTCTCACAACCGAAGATCGTTGAATCCATGAATACGACACCGAGCGATTGGTTTTTGTTAAAGTTTCTAAAATATGAAGTTAACAAGCTTTCTGATGATAATAGGTTTGTTGCAACCGATGTTCCAAGTGATTTACTGGTTCAGATTGGTGATTTTAGTTTTCCATTTGCATAAACTTATAGTCACTTCATTTGAATCGAACGAATTGGGTTTTGAATTCTTGATTTAAGTTATTCGTTTTGTGTGTTTGTTTTTGGAATTCGAAGTACTAGTTGCTTTCAAGAAGTGGGAAAATGAACAGACTCGTATATGATTCAAGAGAAGTAGAGTTGAGAAAGGTAATCCCGGGTGGTGCAGAGGCCTTTGAGATTGCAGTCTAACATCATCGACATTTCATCGCTACACAACCAGTCAAACATATCGGTCTTAATTTTCGGTACCACCACTGAAAAAATAGGCAGTGCTTCACCACGAGCTTCGCGATGCTTCTGCCAAACAAAAATTAGGGTTGCTCTTGATGAGTTAACAGCTCGAGCAACGGTGGAGGCTAGACTTTCCAGTGGGCTCATCGGGACAAGGGAATTTGCGGCAATTCGTTTGAAGACATCAACGTAATTGATTGTGTTTTTTGGTTGGATGCAGATTTTGGCCATGGTTTTCACAGCGACTTCGGGGTAAGATCCGGTGGCAGTTTCACTGCTCAGCATGACACAGTCGGTTCCAACCGTGATCTATGGTGGGGCTTTGTTACTAGGTTGTGTTTTGCAAAATCATTGGGAAAGAGAGGGTGATAATCGGAACTTGAAAGTTGAAAATGGGGTAGGGTAAGTCGGTATGTAAACGGTAGTGATGTATGTGTATGTGTGTGTTTATATGTTCCATTCTACACTTCCTCAAATTTGACTATAGTAGCTGACATTGTGAACTTTACAAAGCCATGTCATCTTCAATTGATTATTTAGTAGATAGAACCGGTTATTTCAGGTTAAGAGGACTAAAAAGACATGTCACTTTACAGTTTATTCCCTTAAAAGGCACGAAAAAAAACTTTAAAGACTGATAGGGTAAGTCGAAATACATAGTAAAGCCGTTGCGTCATTTAATATGATTTTTTTTTTTTTTGAAATGACAAATAATTTAAATATTTTCTCTGCCTGTAATTGAATCAAAAACCTCCTAGTTAGTTGTTAGATTAGAAACCTTATTATTAGCCCGTTAAAAAAATTTAAGAACTGATAGGACAAAATCGAAATACATAATAGATTCTCCTTATAAAAAGTTATGATTTCAAAATATTAGATTGAAAAAAGAAAACATATTTTATTTGGTTTGGTTTTCTTGACCACCAAGAATTGGTCTCCTTTTCAACCTCAACGAAGCTCCTTGGTAGGTGGCATCAGGTAATTTTCGTAACTAATAAGGGCAAATTGGGAACATAAAAATGTTTCGTGCCCTGCAAATGCAAACCCCATCCCCACCCCCACCCATCTTCTTTGTTTATCTGTTCTTTTACTGGTCTTTCAGTTAAAAAGCCTTTGAATCGTTCCTCATAGTTTCTCTCGTTTCATTCTCTTCAAAGCTTTCGATTTCGATCTCATTCAGTTTTCACATTCATACAATCTCAAATATTTGTGCAAGATCAAATCCATGTTCATTCAATCTCACCCCTATTTATCCAGGAATTTGGATTCTTTCTGATTTTTCTACTTTCATTTGGTACCACAAGTTCATCCATTGATTTGATTATGTGGGGATTTGTTAATCCAAGTTTTTTTGATGATCATTGATTGGATTCATTTCCTGATTCAAATGACAAAGCTTTTGATGGATCGGTGTTAGTTTGTTAGGGTTTAGGTAGGAACAGTGAAAGAAATGGCTTCACCAGTACCAGCGAAATCTCAACCGCTTCATAACTTCTCGTTGCCGCATCTGAAATGGAAGAACCACCGGAGCGGCCGTAGCAGACTTGCCGGAGAAACTTCATCGTCATCTCCGCCTCATCGATCTCCGTCTACACCATGGCGTGAATCTCCGCCTCCGGCTTCTCATGCTCATATTCCTCCTCATCCTCCTCTGCGGCATCCCTCTCCATCTTACGTTTCTCGGCGGCCGTCACCTTTGCACAAGCAATCTCCGATGCGTGACTCGGAGTCGGAATCTGAACCGAGCTGCGCCGTTTCGGAAGGAATTGAAAAGCATACCAGGAAACCATCGTCTGCAAAATCTACAAAATCGGTCGATAGCAGTAAAGGCAAAAGATCGCATAAGATCTGTATTCGTTTCCGGAAGAACAGCAATATCAAGCATGACGACGCCGTCCCGGAGGAAAACCACTCGTCAACACCAGTTGACAACGCCGTTCCGTCTGCAGCAGCCGAAGAAGAAGAATCCTTGCCGAAGATTTGGAATTTGAGGCCCAGAAGGCCGCCGATGAATCACAAGCAGTTTAATGGAGGTTTACCGAAGATCGGTTCATCGTCATCGCCGGAAAATACAGCTTCGCAAATAAATAATCCCAATAAAGAAGCATCAGAAGTGAAGAATAACGATCACAGCAATTTTGGAACGTCAAAGAAGCAGAAATTCTCGATTGCACTTTCGCGTCATGAGATCGAAGAAGATATATTCGCATGGACTGGATCAAAGCCTTCCCGGAGGCCAAAAAAGAGACCAAGGACTGTTCAGAAACAACTTGATGTAAGTTTCTTTTCACCCTTTTTCCCATTTTAGTTTCGTAAATCTTGTTAGATCGAATGGTAAAATTAGTATTCTTTTGGGAATCCTATAATTTCATCATCAAGATCCAATCATGTGCTTTAATCTTTCAATCTTCGAATTATTTCTAACGATCTGTAATTTCTTTTTGCAGACATTGTTTCCTGGTTTATGGTTGGGTTCGATAACAGCTGATTCATACAAAGTATCTGAAGCACCTCCAAAGGTATAACTCAAATCGATCGAGCAGATGGAGGGTGGTTCTTCGATTGATTTTTGGTAGAAGTTCGAAGGTTCATGGCTCCAAGATTTTTTTTTCTCTTTTTTTTTTTCTATTTAATTATGTTTGAAGGTATGGAAGAACCCTAACTTGTATAGGTGAGAGGGAGAATAATCCATCTTCTTGTTATGGTTCGTTTATTTATCTTTTGATGATAATGGTGAATTAACAAAAGAAGTTCTATTCTTTCGCATCCATTTTAGTGAATACTGTACATATGATTGATTTATTTGAAGTAGGTTTCCTTTTATTTGGTGTTTGAAATCTTGTAAAATGAAGTTGTGGGGGATTTCGTGACATGTTGCATAACATTTATTAGATACTACAATTGTTAGGTAATATGACTGGTAATTACCGGTGATATTATCCTATTATAAACATATAAAAAAAGTTTGGGCTAATTACTAATCCAGTCAAATTAAGGAAGTAATTAACAATTTTAGCTAAAAATTAGGAATTGTCTCAAAATAGCCCACGAAATTGTAGGTATTTAGAATCGTCTACTGTTTTTGCTAATTCGTCTACTCTTTCGTGTTTAGTATTAAAAAAAACATTTTGAAGATATAAAGCCGTATGTTTTTTAAAACCTACAGTTTTCTCTCTATAAAATACGGTTTCTCAAACCGTAGCTTACAGTTTTGGGTTGAATCTCCGTTTTTTTTTTATTTTAATGAAAACTACAGTTTTGGGTTAAAAAGCTAAGATTTTATTTTTTTTATTTTTAATAGAGAGTATTTTTTTGAGAATTATTTTGATTAAAAATATTGTTTGTAAAATGTAGAGTAGTTTTTTGATAATTATTTTGTTAAAAAATATTTTTTGTAAAATATAAAATAGTTTTTTAATAATTATTTTGATAAAATAATTTTTTGCTAAAATGTAGATTATTTTTTTGAATTTGTTGAATATTTTTTTTAGTAAATTGGACTACTTTTTGGATAAATTTGATTTCTTTTTTGTTAAAATTTACTATTTTTTTGCTAAATTTGATTACTTTTTTGTTAAACTTGACTACTATTTCTTTCATTATCTACTATTTTCTCTCAATGGAGCACCCGAAAAATAACGAGGTACGTCCTTTTTTAATCAAAATTTTACCGTATCGTTGATTAGGAGTAGTTTTGTATATGAGGATAATTTTTTTTTTTGAAAAAAACCGAAAAAAAAATTTAAAACCATAGGTTTCTTTCGAAACCTACGGCTTTAATTTTTTTTTTTTTGGTTTTTTTCAAAAAAAATTATCCCCCTATACAAAAACTACTCCTAATCAACGATACGGTGAAATTTTGATTAAAAATTGACGTATCTCGTTGTTCTTCGGGTGCTCTATTGAGAGAAAATAGTAGACAATGGAAGAAAAAATGAGGAAAAAGTAACCTAAACTGAAAAATAAAACATTATATACTATGACCCGATGGACCACAAAACAGTAGACGGGCCACGAAAGAGTAGTCCATTGCGACGAAAGAGTAAACCTACAGCTTTAATTTTTTTTTTTTCGTTTTTTTTCAAAAAAAAATGATCCCCCTATACAAAAACTACTCCTAATCAACGATACGGTGAAATTCTGATTAAAAATTGACGTATCTTGTTGTTCTTCGGGTGCTCTATTGAGAGAAAATAGTAGACAATGGAAGAAAAAATGAGGAAAAAGTAACCTAAACTGAAAAATAAAACATTATATACTATGACCCAATGGACCACAAAACAGTAGACGGGCTACGAAAGAGTAGTCCATTGCGACGAAAGAGTAGTTTTTGAAGGTTGACCGTAGTCAACCCTAACCTATCTACTATTATATGGGCTAGTTTTGGCTAATGTGTTTTTTTGACTAATTTTGGATAGGTAATTAGTGTATTTGGCTAGATTAGTATTTTCCCCAAAAAGTTTATTAGTAAAAAATGTACGAAAAAAACATGGTTATCTAAATATGAGCAAAATCCAAATTTTCTTACCCATTTTGATAATATTTGGTTCTTTATGTTAACTGCAAGTAGTTATAAGGCCTATTGATGTGACTTGATTCCTAGTTGCCATCAGAGAACAAATCCTTTAAAATCGTCTCAAGGACTATTCAAATTAGCTCAATGTGTACGAGGAGATGATTTCTCCTAGATATAGAGCCATCTTGGTGGGAAGAGTATATGTATACAGTGGATGCTCATGTCTGAGAATGAGAGATCCTCTTCAAGAAGGATGAAGTGTTCTATTTATAGATCCAGGTTAATGGACAATTATGTTAGGTTTGGGCCAACCCAGTTCAGGCCTAACTAGTCGTGGGCTAGGTTGTGCTGCCAGGCATCTAAAGCGCACATAACCTAGCCTCTTAAGCGCATGAAACCTAGCCCCTAACTAGCTGGGCCTAAACAAGGCTGACTCAAGACCTTACAATCTCCTCATACACATCGATTTTGCTTGATCGTCGGAGTCTGCTCCCAGGTTAAAGCCCTTGAGGCGGTCTAATGGTTTTGTTCTCTGGTGGCAGCTAGGAATCAAGTCGGAACTTACTAACGACACCTACTTCAGATCTATAATCCAAATCTGACACCAAGACCTGATAGTTCAATTCATGTCACATTAGTGTGTCTAATGACTACTTGTACTTAGCATAAAGAACCTAATATTACCAAAACGGGTAAGGAACTTTGGTTTTTTCCACATTTAAGTAACAATTTTTTTTCGTGTATATTTAACCAATAAACTTGTTTGGGCTGTTCATAATAGGGTAATATCATTAGTAATTACCACTCATATTACCTTATTTTGAACACGTGAAACAAGTTTAATGGTCAAACGTGTTGAGAAAAATCATGGTTACCTAAATAAGGGCAAACACGAAAGTTCATTACACTCCTAGGTCATTAACCGAATATCAATCAATTTAATTGGTATCTAAGCCAGGTATAAAACTTTTTAATTAGTTCATCAATATATTATTATTTATATCTTTATTTTATTTTATTTGATAATAATAAAAAGTGCCTATTAGAAAATATTGGTTAAATAGACTTGAGTTAAAAGCCTTCGTACATTAAAAAAAAACTGTAGAAATGCTGCCTATGGCTTGTCGATTTCGTTGGATAAGGTCCAAAACATAGTTTCCTTGCAAAAAATGTCATTATTTGATGTTTAATCTGTGGATTTGGTCCCTAAGTGTAACTATCGATTTCTTCCCCACGTGTCTTGCATATGAAGACATTTTCATCTTTTCATTTATGGGGACCAAAATTGCTGATGTGTAAAAGATGGTCTATAAACTTGAGATAACTTGAAAACCATTTCATTTGATAATGGTGCCAAAAACTTATGTCATAAAAGATATAAACTTGAAAAATACAAATCTAGTTTTACATTTATAATATCTAACAAACCAAACTAATTATCTACAATAGATAGTAGACCTGATCAATAATAATATAACTTAAGTAAGGGTGTCGAACACATGAGGAACATAAGTGTACTAATATATCAACATCTTATTATTAATCAATCTTAAAAAAACATATAAAGTGGAATTAAATAGTGTCACTAGCATAATAATATAAATAATCAAACAAACATAACAACCATGGCTAAGTGTATAGATAATATAATCTAAAGGTACTCATACTGTAACGCCCGCAAGATAGGGCTAGATGATAATAGGATAATTATTCCTCATGGAGATAAATATATGTTTTTATAGAAGATTATTTAAGATAATAATCTAAATGATAGGTGTAGGAATTGTAAAACTGAAAGCGTGCATATATAAAATGTCCAAATCCGACTTCATATAAGGAAGTTATGATTTTTCAAAGTTTCAGTATAACAATGTGCGACTCAGAACCCGAAATTGAGAAAGGTTGATTGTTATGAAAAACAATCTAAATGAGAGTTGAAGATCTCGTCAATATCTATCCCTCAATATAAAGGCAGCCGAGAACAGATATCGTATGAGAAAGTTATGATTTTTATACGGACTTTAACAGTCTAAGACTATAAAAATATAACTTTAAAAATAAAGTGAGAACTAGCTGATGAAGTCTAAACAAAAGTTGTATATCTCGTCGATAGCTACGCGTGGATATAAAGAACGTAAAAAACGGAGCTCGTATGAAGAAGTTACGAAATTTACAAGATTCATGTTTTGCGTCCCGCGCACAAAGGCGTGGCGCGTGCTTCTAGAAGGGGGCTACATCGAACCAGTCTGAGCATGTCACGTGTCACAAGGCGAGAGGAACGTTGTGTCAAAAGGGCGCGATGCACGCCTTTGAAGGTGCGAAGCGCAAATGGGAATTTCAGCCTATAAATAGCATGCAACCCCCATTTAGTTCTCTCACACCACCAGAGCAATTCGTTTGGATTTCTTCAACAAAAACTCAATTTTCTTTAGCAATTAGGATATTCTAGAGAGGCTCTTGAGTCTCTGAGAGCTCGACTAGTGGAAGCTATCGGTTTGGAGTTTTGCCAGTGCAATTGTCACAACCCCGAACCAGACGGCGGAAACGTCCGAGGGCTCGCGTGACTTAAATTGAAATATCATCACAATGAAT